TGGGCAGGTTACCGAGGAGAACGTTTATAGCGTACTTTGCTTCGCTGACGTGTACCTGCTGAACGGTCTGAAACGCCTCTGTGCACGCGAGATCAGCTCGTTACTTGACCCTGATAGCGTGGTTACCGTTTTAAGGACGGCGCGTCTGTTTAACTTGCCCGGACTTGAAGTGAACTGCTGTGAATACATCAGTAAACACTTGGAAAAGGTAACGTATGCGCTCTGTTTGTTCTCATGTGACTAATAATTAGGGCTTACACCTCCAGGATAGTCGATAATAAGAGTCAGTAATACTAGGGACAGTTACTGAAAATCCTGCCCAAACGAATAAAGAAACTTCCTCCATCCAAATCCAGTCGTAAAGACCAATTTCACAGTATTTAAGGTGTGTCCACTGACTCTCCCCACCCCCTCCAACAATGTTCTTAAAGACAAACAGTTAAGTGTAACGGGCGCACAAAATTCAACATTGTTTGGGGGAGGAGAGGGAAGAGGTCAGTTTGATTCTTATCATGATGAGTGTCTTAACCTCTAGTGAAGACCATTTTCCACCATTTTTTTTCACTTCACCAGCACCATGACCGCGGCCGGCGACGAAACATTTTTCGCGCCATATTTCTATAAACGCCCCGGAAAGAAGGGAACTCTGTTACTTGGATGCCACAGGATGTTTCAGTATAATATGATGATAAGTGTAAGACTTTTCTCGAATTTTAACTCTTGGCATTGTTGGGAGTTAACAGGCTTTTTGTGGTCACAGGTGATTGACAATAAGGAATTCCATTCCCTAATCCTGGATGACGCTTCCTCTGTACAAGGCCGTCAAGAAACAGACTCCATCCCAGTGGTGGACGACATCCGCTTCCATTTATATAAGGTTGTTCTTCCTATTAACGGCGTGTTAGATGATGATGATGAGCTCGTTGTCGATGGTGAAAGCAGACTGCAGATGTTAGAGACGTTGTTGCAGAATCTTGGAGTGGAATGTTAAAGACCACATTAGAAGACCCCTTTTTCTTCAGCTAAATCGCTTTGTCTTATCCACTTTTCTCTTAAGCATAAATAATATAGGGTTCTGGGAGGGAGTTCTCTCTCCTCCGCAAAGGCCCTCGCTGGGTCCGGGTATTCCAATAAAAATAGCTATAATATAAAAATAGAAAGCGCGGTGGACAATGGGAAGAGGGAAAAGGCGCTTCCTTTCTTTCCCCTTACCATCGTCCGCCGCGCGTTTTCTTTTTTCTTTTCTCTTTCCCCATCCTCCCTACGACACAAATAGGCCTCTGCGGAGGAGAGAGGAGTTAGTTGACTACAGTCTCTGACCCAGGAGAAAGTCACCTGCAAAAAAATATGAAAAATAATTATACCCAAGGCTCAAGTTTGTAAGATAGATAAGTTATTGGAAAAATAAGAAAGGTGAAAAAAAAAAATGGAGAAGTAGCACTGTATGTGAGGCTGCTTGGGTAGTAAGTTATTAAAACAAGTTTCTAGCGAGACAGTGGTCAAGATTTGTTGTATTTAATTGTAGTAGCTGTGGTTAAAAATGATAAAAATTCACTAAAACTGTGCTGGCACCTGGTGACAGGAAAAACCACGAAGAGTGTTCATTCGAGCCGTGGATTTAAACTAACGAAAAATGGCCATATAAGGAATGGCCTAAAACGTCGATTGATTTTCAACTCTGGTGGGAGTTGAACATGGAATTTGGAAGTAAAATAGTTGTAAGGACAACCCTGCGAGCAGAATCTCCCCTAAAAATAGTTTATGTGCGCATGACATAAAACAAAGGTTAGACCGATTATAGTTCTAAGCTCTTAAGCCCTTTTTTTCAGTCAAGCTTGCTTAGCAGCGAGACTCTTAAACCGCAAGCGTTCCCTTTTTTCCGTGTATGCTTGCCAAAAGGAGGTTATGGTCCCAGGCGTTCCTAGCAGAGGCCGTGGAAACTGGGGATAAGAGTCGCGACTTGACCGACAACATATTCAAAGCGCCATGCATGTTTTGTGAAGAAAGCTTAGGAAATATTAATGCAAAAGATATAGAGCTTTTCCGGAACCGGTCAGTCCGCGAATTCTATCGCTTGAAAGCGTTGATTGCTTTGGAACAAGTGAATACTTCGGTGGTGAGGCTAACTGGTCGGGTGTTGTAAACTTTCATTGTATGAAAATGAGTCTTGTGATGAGCAGGCGATGATTGAAATGACGCGACATGTCCATTGCGTTTTCGTATATTTATACACGCGTACTCAATCAATTCAGAAACAAATCGTCGAATACGGCATACTCGACTGTTGATCAAGTAGGACGTGAAAAATGTTTAGCGAGGACACAGTGTTTCGTGTAGAATTAATCGTCTCCTCATTTCCTATCCAATCTCCAAGCAAGCTCGACTTAACGCTTGAAGGAGCGTCTTGTTTAGAGGAAGTTTGACGTAGCCTGCGGTTCAACACACTCAATGGGCTTTTGAATGTGTCTATTTTAAGTAGACAGATGCTAATGGTAACAAGCTTTCTTGACACTGCTGGCAGTCCAGTGGATCCAAAATCTTGAATCTACCACCCTTTTTCAGAATTCGACCAACCAAGCTGAGCCCTTAATATTACCGCCGAGATTTTGCCGACAGGTTGCCGTCAGATTAACGACTGTATGCCGCAAACAGGAAAAACGTTTTGTCCCTGAACAGCAATTCAAGTGACTTTTGCTTTAATACTTACATGTAAAACCATTCATTTGTTTAATGGCATCCTGTTTTTTACTAAAACATCGAGTTTAATACTAATTACACGCTAGTTATCTAAATATCAATATAAATTTAGACAAGCTAAGAATCAAAAACCTGGAATCTACTCCTCTCACCGTACATCTACCATGCAATTAAAAATTCGACAAATATCACACCATAAATTATTGTTATTTTCACATTTGCTTTGGCGATATAATTTATAGTATGGGCAATTTAAACACAGCACCGCCTGCAAACAACAAATAATAAATTTCCCGCACTCTTTGTACAAATATTACAATATATATCCGGGAACATTAGTGGAGAGATAGAAGAAGAACCCTTCCACAATGTTCTTCAAATAACCTATATTCATAAATGGCTGCCTAAAGGAGACTGTTTCATTAAGAAACTTAATGTTTCTCCCCTAAATGTATTAGAGCTACCGTATTTGCTCGAAATAGCACCGCAGTTAGGGAACAAATTATTAACAGGCGCTGTTCTTGAATAAGGGCCTCTATGTCAATGAAAAAATATACATTTATTTATTCTCCATGCTTAATGCTATGCTTAATATGGCTAATATGTTTGCTGTCGTTATTTTTGGATCTGGCAAGAACATTGGTGTTCAAAACAAACTCTGATTGTCACTGCTATTGTCATTGTTGTTGAACAAGAGAAATAAATAAAAGTAAGAATTACCTAAAATTGTGTTATTTATAAGCGCCTCCCTGACAAGCCAGAAAATTTAATTAGTGGTGTTTTGCTCTTGCAAGTAAATGCTTTAGTTTAAGGTAAAGAAGAGTACTGTTAAAAAATAAAAAAATTACTGTGAATGAGTGGTTTGAAACCTTTTACAAGATTATTACTACGAAAAGAGGGTAACAGACTTCGACCAAATTTTAAGGGGCAATGTCAAATGTCTGCAAATCTAAACAAATGCAAAGCTTGACTCATTGCAAGCAATTTAATAGATCAAATTATCCGATACAAGGAGAACTTGAAAATGAAAGCCATATTTAATCTACCTTTCTCATGAACTGGCCATAAACCAAACAGAACTTCATTTATATGCAAAGAAAATAAAAAGAAAAATGTCTCACATACCATTTCCCGTTACAAAATAACCATTTTGTTTCACTGAAGTTGAAAGACAGCCATTTATGAATATATTCTTTAAGGCACAAATTTACATTGTCTGAGCGTCAATATTATACAAAGTTAATATTAATACAGTGTTCACAATAAATTGGTTAAGCCCTGGTATCTTCAACATTAAGAAAGCAGATGCATTAGAAAACTAAAAAATAACCCCAGAAATGAAGTATTTTTAATAGTATTACCAAGATTCAGGGTATTCTGAAAAGCACTTCAAATTTGATCTTGATCACATGAATACGAGGTAAACGGCTTGTTGAAGAGTTGGATCACTTTACGTATCTGGGTAACTGACTACCTACCCCTCCACTAAACCAACATTAACACTTATTTCTCACTTGGGGCAAAATGTTGATTTAGGGGATGGGTAGGTGGTTAGTTACCAAGAAACATATAATGATCCGAAAAGTTTGCAGACAAAAATCCTTCATTATTAAAATGAGAGAGTTATGATAGCGACTGAGAAGTGCTTTCTCTGTTTAACGCACTTGACAAGGTCCAAAATAAATTTGAAGTTTGTCCACTGTTCACAGTCCCCTATTTTTTCTTAAGATTGTCAGGATTGAGTGCTTACCGTAACAGGTGGCCATCTTGATTTCTTATGTACCGACGAGGCTGGAGTCTAAGTTTTAAGTAGATTTGACACTCACCACATCCAAGATGGCCACCCGTTATACAAAGGGCTTGATCTCAACAATCCTACAGAAAAACAGGGGACTGTAAACAATCTACAAGTTTGTGAAGTATGTTTATTTGGAGTCTAAATAAATAATGCTAAAAACACCATAAAAAATAAAGCTAAGTTGAGTAGTACAAATTGCACTTTTCTTCAGTACCACATTAGCTTCCTCTTTGAATAACGTGTTAAAAAAATTACGCGTATTAAAAAATTAAATAAAAACAAATTCAGTTCCTAATGAAACTAAACTGACTCTTAGCCCTCCGCAGTGCCACACTGTTCTATAATGCAACATAAAGAAACAAGAGATTGATAATATAGAAGATACCAAAACCTAGCCAGATGGAATGATTCCTATAATATAATAATAATAGTATGTTGTAATTATTATTATTATTATTAATTATTAATTTTGTTATCCTAAGATACAAAAGTGAGTCCTCTGATGTCAGAGCTCCATGTCTTGAGCTTCATCTTCTGAAAAGTCACTAATTGAACTTTCACTTGATGATGACATTTCTTCTTGGTCTTTCAATGCCTCTTCTGTTGCATATTTCTTAATATATTCTAGTAACAATGAAGTCAACATATTAGCATAATCCTTTCACTTTACAAATTATAATGAAGACAAAGAATGTANCAAAAGTGAGTCCTCTGATGTCAGAGCTCCATGTCTTGAGCTTCATCTTCTGAAAAGTCACTAATTGAACTTTCACTTGATGATGACATTTCTTCTTGGTCTTTCAATGCCTCTTCTGTTGCATATTTCTTAATATATTCTAGTAACAATGAAGTCACCATATTAGCATAATCCTTTCACTTCACAAATTATAATGAAGACAAAGAATGTAGTTCTAATTTTCAGTCTGTCACTGTCTGTGGATAAAATCCTTTGATGACAAAACTTCACTCAGACCTCTTTGTCATTATCATAACGTGGCAAAGTTTTTTGTCTACTAACTTCCTTTTGAAAGGAATAAATTTATACACACAATCCTCAGTAGTAAGTTCTCAAGGAATTAAAGAGAAAAAAACACAGAACTATAAAAGCTACATTGGTCAGTGTACACCAAACATGCAAGGTTTTTGAGTTGTGATAGGTGGCCAGTGGTTTTCAAAAATGGATGTGGAGAGAATGAGGCCCTAAATAGGCTCACTGATACTTTTTCCACAAGTGTACTAATTAGTCAATCATACCTTTTATTTTTTCTTTATACTGTTCTGGTTTGTGAAGGTAAAGAGCGGCTGCATCTCCGTTCAAGGGATCAACAGGGTTAGGGTAAGACAGAAGTTGAGGTAAAAAAGACTCAAAGATGTTTGACAAATCTGACACAGGAAAAAAAAACAGAAATCACTTGGTGATGGTTGGGTAGGCCCAAGTCACAAAAAAGGTAGAGCAATCAATAAATATGGTTCCAAAGATTTGAGAAATGAAATCCTGCATTTACTGATCAGATTTTTTAATATAAACTCCACAATGACACAAAAACATGCTTCAATCTATATATTATACAGCAGAACATTCAAGCTTGCTTGAAGCTACTGACAATGAAGGTGATTTCAAGGGAAAATAATATGTCATAATGGATGCTTACCACATGGACATTAAACATACTTAACTGATCCCTTTTTCTCCCTGTTCACAATCAGTACAATCATACAATAAACACTAGAAAATGGATTGTCTCAATGTTATCTCCAAATAGCGAATTCGTCAAAAGACTTTAAGGTGTTTGGATAACCAGTGAGACACTCTTACTTGTATTGAGGTCCATCGGAAATAGTAATAGCAAACAAACATCAAAACAAAACAAGAAACTAGCTTCTAGGGTTGTGCATTCCAGATTAGCACACACAAATAAAATACAGTGGAACCTCAATATAATGAAGGGCCAAGAGACTGGCAAAATATGGTCGCTGTAACAAGGTTTCATCATCAAAGTTCTTTTCAGTATATTTTACTATTACTACGGCACTGCGACATATAACTTAGGTTCATTAAAATTAATCGATGTTTCACTGTTAAAGATTTATTCTTCTTCAATCTTGTTATCTTTTACGAGCACTAACCATACAACGCAGTCCAAGCTTGGTTGATCACATCAAGGCAAACTGTCCCAGAACTACGAAGATGTTACAGACCATCAATACCTCATTACTAGCATATTTGAAGTACTACTTTTGTTTGCAACACAATAAAACAAAGACAGAGAAAAACTTACGCTTCGTCTATGTTTGGATGGAAAATCTTGTTGATAAAACCTTTAAAAAAAAGTAAAAGAAAAAATATATCAAAGTCAAGTTTTATCAGGATTGAACACAGAAAACACAAAATTAAATAATTTCAATTCACATTTTTGCACGTGACAGTTGTACTATTTTTCAAACATGATAATCATCACTAAAAAAGTGAGCTGTATTGGAAGACAGTGCTAAAGAAGTTTAGAGGTGGTAACATAAAAATGCATTAAACCATATTTCTTCAATACACTGCATTGTTAAAAAAACAGATTACAAATTTGTGCATTCTCTTTATGATGGTGTGAAAATCAGTTACAATCTATGAGCAGCATGAATCAAATTCACATCCACTGCATGTACAAGAAAAAAATATTCAGCTTCCTCACAAAACATTCCGAAAGGGACCTGTTGCAAAACCCAATATCAGGACTTCATTGGGCTGAAATTCAGATGTTACAAGTTATCCTGCACATCAATATTTGTGTTTTTCCGGTCCCAGGGCTTCAACACAATTTTCATCAACTCTTTGCAAAGAAGTGTTGGTGCAAAGGAATGAGGTGATTGCAAATCTCAGTGACAGTAGGTTAATCTAAAGATAAATACAGCAGCTGTACATAGCTTACCTATAGATGGAGACTTGAATGGGTATTTTTCAGGTAAATCGACCCTCACTTTCCAAACACCACCTTCGTAAAGACCTGAACAAATTAGGTAAAAAGGCAAGAGGAAAAAGGGAAAAAATCGGAGTGTGAGCTGATGTTCTTATAATGATGTTAACAAGTCCCAGACATTTCTGAACAACTCAGTTTACCACACCATAGCAACAACATAACCAGATCAAACACTCTTAACTCTGAGTTTGAGTTTCATAGAGTATAACTGCTATGAAGAGCCAGAACTCATAGGATACCACGTCAGTAATCATAGAAACCAACACAGAGATCAGCATCTTAGTAGCAGGATTGTTGCATTATTTGGTCACAAAATTTAGCAGGGTTTGTGTGGAAAACTACTGAACCATGACTAGCTGACATGAGCTGTTCTTCCCATAAAAATCCGTTCAATTTTTGGCAGCCATGGCAATAATTCCTTCTTTTAAAATTATTTTGAGATATAAGCTTGAAAATGTCCCTGTTAGCTATTTTTTACGTGCTCTCTCTAACCCTGCTAACACTTTTTTTCTAAATGCATTGTTCTTGTGTTTAGAAAAACTTGATCACTTGACCAACTGTTGGGCATGTTATGGCTGGTAATGCCTGTCACTTCCTGATCAGGTGGACATTGCTTGAATCTTAACCTCTTTACATCTTGGGTCCCAAACCAGCTGCAATTATTTTGTCAAAATGATGAATTCTACTGCATTCCTAGACCCACATAATTTGAAGTTTTACTGTAAGCTCAGCATAGTTAAATAGCTTAGTGGGGTCAAAGTTACTTTGGCTGGCACAAAGGCAAATTCCAGTTAATAGATGTAACCACAATAATAATTAAA